CCCCCCCCCCCTTTAGTTTAATTATAGTTAGTTAGTTTATTTACACTAGTTCTTTTAGATTGCATTGATGATTGAATACAACCATTTCCCCGAGGATCGATACCCCTTTTTACCATTATATTACGTTTTATTTGCAAACAAATTGTGTAATTCGCTTGGTGGACTTGACATCCCACCAATAGGAAACTTGATATTACCTGATAGTTTGGACACCCCCTGAATTTCCTCCATGGATTATCGATAGTTTTGGAGATCGAGAATGTGGCAGGTTCATCACACTCGCATCTCAAATCTTCAGACCAATGATTCCTTAAAGCCCATTCTCTGTACCCTTGCATGTGCATGTTGGAGGAGCTTATCATCTTGCAGGATTGAAGTTTGAGAGAAGAATGGAACAAAACCAAACTAACAACTTACCTTCAATGTTCGTCTATGCTTTATAACCTACTGAAACCTGTGAAACCGACATTTTTCCCTTTACCCATAATTTCATGAAAATATCGTGTCCACAGTCAACAAAAAATTAAAACAAAGGTTTTTGCCAATTTATTGGCAAAAATATAAAACTTTTATGATAATAGTCCTTTAAACAACATTCGTCAATGCGCACATAATTCCTCTTTTTTAATGTAGCTACCCGTAAACCAAAATATTTTGCTCATACAAAATTATCTCAATAAAGAAATACCATTTTACATTTATACTCAACGTTAATTTCGGATTAGAACTTTAGAGTAATTTACGTTTTCAATAAAATTAAAATTTAATTATGGAAGTGATATGTATCTTCAAGATCATGTCCTATAAGAACTTGTTTTATTAATTATTATTATTATTATTCACCAACCACATAAGTCATTTAACATCGGACTAATTATGTTATTCTTTATCAATCATTGATTTATCTATTGAGATATAACATTTTATTCTCTGTTTAATAATATTTTCATTTTATCATCATCAATAATCTTTTATATTAATCTTTTTGTTTCACCTAATTTTATATTGAAAATATCATACACTTTTATAGTTTTTTTTTTTTTTTTTTTTTTTTTTTTTTTTTTTATATTTGAAAGTATATAGTTTATAAACATAATACCAACATCAAATATGATTAATGTTTTAAAATAACAAATCGTCTTTGATATGTTTAATAATACCAAATTGGACTATGGAAGTTTATACAATATTTGATTTTTAAAAGAAAAACAGGCTTTTAATAAAGTTTATCTATAAAGAATTAACTCGACTTAAGGAAAAGGGTTCATGAACGTTTTTTATTTTTAAAACTAGCAGTCAAAAACTAAAACTTCCGTCAGTCTAATCTTAGTGTATCCCCAAACAATTCAACGCCGTAAGGAAACGGAAAAATTAGGTGGGCACCTCTATCGTCTTCAGTAGT